AAAATCCTCTAGAAGAGAGTGTTCCGATGCTGGAAAACCCTCCAATCGATCATCTCGACCTCAATATGGATGGATATGAAGAAAAAAAAGAAGAATTTCAAGTCTTAAAAATAGTGCATCTTATCACAAGTTATCTAGACAGTCTATTTTCTATATTTTCAAGTACTTGTAGATTGAACAAATCTACAAATACTTGAAATTTTTGAAATTTCAAATTTCATAGCTTGGGATACAAATAGATTTCAAGCCATCATAAGGTTTCTGACACTGGAACTATATCTCTAGACAAAATTTAGAGGTGCGCATTACTTCTATAGTATGAGGAGAGCACCTTATATAAACCTTACCCATGCCAGAACCTAATAACTGGTTGTACACTGCTTTGTATAAAATTTTGTGGGGGGAAAACAACTAAAACAACAAAAACACAAAAGAAAACCACTGAAACAGGAGGACGGGCTGCTTTTACAAAATTGCTGTGCTTTACTCAGGGTGGACTATGACAAGTATGTCTGCTACACTGTTAGCCTCATGCTGCGTGTGGTTGAAAGAGGTATGGGTGGCCCCACTCAGCCAGAAAGTTTCTTCAAAACTGGTCCAAGCGCCAGAGACACTGAGAGGAATGGTTCACCTAATTTATGGTATTTTCGAAATCTCCTTTAACTACTAGAGTGTGGCCCCACCTATGGTCAAACAGTGGTTCAGCCATAGTTGAGGTGCTGTGCCTACAGGACCTGAGAAAGATAGCAGGGTAGCACCACTGCTATCCTCTAACAATTCCCCCACACCCACTGCACCTGGGTTTCCAAAGGAGCACACATTAAAGTTCAACTTAGTACCCTGTTCTGGGAAGGTCCAATGGGAGGATCTACCAATTCAACCGTGAGAAGACCTAGAACTCAACAGAGCTGTAGCCTTTGAATAGTTTCCAAAATTTTGTCCATTCAATCACCTTGACTTGATATTATCCTTGACTGTGTCAAGTGACCTTCCTTTATTATTGGAAATTCTCCAATTGTGCTTGAGCCGTACATTCCAAAAGAGTGTAAAAGTGCTTCCCTAGTAGTAGGCTCTGTCTGGGGACATGGGGACAAGAGGTATGCCTGGAAGGCTGGAACAGCTGCTGAATGGTTTCGGGTGTCACCCACTCTTCCTCGAATAGTTGAAAGAGGAACCACCACAGGTGTGCCTCAAGGAGGCAACATAGTAATTGATGATCCACATTTTCTTCACTTTCCTTGCGCATGATACATCTACTGGGCAGTGGGAAATCATGTCTTTGGAGTTGATCCATTGTAATTTTGTAAGGACTTTTGTTAATGCTAACCAACTGAACAGTTGGACTTTTGGGGGAACTGGGGGTAACCATCTCCTTCTGGCCAGTGAAAAGGAGGCATTGTCACCTCTGATATGATTGTAGAAAGAAGACACTGTGCATAGTCCCAAAGATGTCAAGCACAATAGTTTGTCTCTGGCCACACCAGGCGTGCTGTAGGTTTGGAGGGGGACTAAGAGGTTCTCCAAATCAGCATCAACTTCATTGAGGTTGGTGATAACCTTTGGACCATAGGTTTTCCATAAACCATTAAATTCTAATATCATCTCCCCCTACATGTTTGTTTTTATACAACATCTCATTGATTGAACAAATAAATTTAAGTCACTGTAGCCGTAGCCTGATGTTTATTTATGTAATCTGCATGGATTTCAAAGCTGAACTATCATTTTCTCTACTCAGTTATTTGTCTTTGCTGCAGCTTTATTCTCCAGGTGTTTTAGCTATAGGGAGTAGTCTGAAGGGAGAAAATTCGTACTCCCATCACCTGGACTCTGATGTAAGCCAGAGGCTCTTTCTTCCCACGAAATTTCTGTATGAGTTTCTATTTTGGAAAAGTATACCATTATTCAGTCCCCCTGCGCAAGCGGGACCATAACTGGGTTACGGCCCTTATACCATTATTCAGTCCACTATGAGAAAACCATAGTCCCTTGGGCCATCAATGTGCAATGAAATATTGGATGTTGATGCAGAGAGAGTGGTGACCGACCATTATGTTTCTGTTTTGTTTTATTGGGTCCCATTCTCTCCATCATCATCCATCATTTTCAAGGTAGGCGATGACCTAATGGACTATAATATTTCTATGGACCATTATATTATAATATCATTTCTCTCTTATATATTGGCTTATATTATTTACTTACTATTGTCAATGAGGGCTGCGGGTTGAGATTCTATGTGAATTTATTGCATGGAGTTGTCATTACTTTCCGTGGCTCACACCATGTTCCATTCAGGTTGGTGTTTCTGTTGTGGACCGGTTCACTTTCTACACGCTTGCATTTTTTGAGAGGCTAAATATGTATGACAATGCCTCGCTGAGCAGGTAGAGTTTAAAATTTGAGGTCATTTGGATCTAATTAACTTTTGCAGTAACTGCAAGAAGCATTGCTATTGGTTGAGGCATGCACCATGCATAAATGTTTTAGTGGCAAAAATAATGAACATCATGGCATAAATTTTGGCATCTGTGAAAGTTGCTGTGAATCTCTATATTCTCTTATCTACTAAAATTGCAGTTCTGGTATGCCTTCTCTGTCCAATCTAGGCACTCAGCAAATTGAGCAATTTGCAGTTATTCATTACTTTTATGATTCAATTTATGAACTTCAATTTGTTTTTTTGTTTCTTCCACAGCCTTTTCAATTCTTACAACCCAAATTTATTGATGTCAACTGCATACTATCGAATGGATCTATATAAACGTCCCCTGGACCAGGTACAGACCTCTTTCCATCTCCTTGTGTTCATAAAACACCAACCAGATGCCCAATTGTAGTTGCTGGGTTAATGGAGTATAAACTACTCCGACCCCTAATGGAAGAGTATTTCTGGAAAGATTTAGTGATATATTTTTCTGGAATCTCAAGCATGGAATTTGAGATTAGTGTGTCTTACATTCATAGGTACCTGTCACAAACTTCTTTGGTTCAGTCATGGAAATGACCCACGTAGACTCTGCCTATCATGCCTTCTCGGGTAAGACAAAGTATGAAACACCCCATATTCAGATGCCATCCTCAGACCAATCTACTGATCAAGCTGAGCAACAAGAGCTGAGAACCTCTGATGCCTCTATTGAAACAAAATACTCCGTTAAAGAGGTAAGTTACTGTTGCTTTTGCTTAATGGTTTTTTGATGGGAAACTTGGTTTCTGTTTCTTCATCTTGGGTGTTCATTGTTTGTTTCATGGGGAGGTCAGTTACTGTTTCTTTCTATATATGGTTTTCTTTGATGGGTGGTTAGTTTCTATTCCTGAAATTTGGGTGTCTTATTAAAGGCTTAGCCTATCATTTGCCTGATTCTTGGGTGGTTATAACTGGTCAAATATATGCAGGTTAAACCAGGTAACAATCACTTAATGGGGCAGTGGAAGGCTTTGTTGGACATGGTAGAGGATACGGATGCATTTGTGAATTACGGATTGCTTGCCATGGCATTGGTGGCTGTCATCTCTTCTTGGGTTTTGAGTTAGCAAGGCATCCTGTACTTTCCATGCATGCAGGAGTGAGATGGGGAGTAACAAACTGTTATCTGGAAATGACCTGCCCCAAGTCTTGACCTTCACGCCTTTCAATTCTCATTGTTTCCTTGAATATATTTTTCGGTAATGAGAGAATTTCCAGGCTTGTGCTATCGATTCAACTCAGAATGTTAACGGCACGAATGTTTGTACCGCCTGACCCTATCAAACAGTTCTTTAATTTTGTTGTAGTTTATGTCGTTCTTTAGAACTGATAGTGACAAAATTAATGGAAAATGAGGATAACATTGTATAACATATCAGTTTTTTCGATAATGTTACAGATTTTATGAACTGGTCAAATTTCCATCACTGAACTTTTTGGTGATTACTTTTGCTTATCCGAAAACATGGGCGTTTTGGTTGGACAGGAAGTCCCGCGAACTCTAATAATTTCTCGATGATGCCAGGCTTCCTCCAAAAACCCTCAGTGGTTCATAAAATCTTTGAGAAATGGATGAATAAAAATGCAAAAAATCTTTACAATTTAATCATGGATGTGAACCGTATTTTGCACCATGGATATGTATTGACGATTGCTTGGCTAACTAGATGCGGGGAGACGTGCAAGGGGACGTAGGTTATGAGTATAGTCTAAGGAATGATAAATCGTGATGGAGTGAGGCCCACAATTAGATTCTCTTCTGGTGGGTCCCATTTTCTTCATGAGTGTTCTTGTTAATGGACGATGACGGAGCTACTGACTCCGGTTATCTCTTAATCTTATGAATCTTATGATTACAGTGTACTTTCTGAAAAAAGCTTATATAAGGTATCAATGTTATATACCATTGAAGCACGGTGCACCTCAAAAATCCTCTTGGAAAGGTTGTTGCAACGTAAAAAAAAAACTCTGAAATTGATTATCTCGACCTTGAAATATATGAATACCGGAAAAAAAAGATTTCTAGTCATGAAAATATTGCATCTTGTAACAAAGTATCAAGACCACCCATTTCTAAATTTCACAATTAGGGATGAAGTTAGATTTTTACGCCATTGTAAGAGTATCAGACACTGCAATTGCATCTTTTTTAACAAAATTTAAAGGTGCCTCACTCAGATTGTTTAAGTTAGACAACTTATATAAACCACACTCGTACTTTCTCTAAATTTAAGTCCAATTGTGTCCAATCCATGTACAAGCCCTGAAATGGAATACAGTGGATCCAATGCTTTGAAACATTGATCACTGGGACATTCTTTCTTGCATAGGAGAAGCTCTATGATTTTCTAAAATGCATGAATTTATCAAATTAATCCTACTTGGGAGTTGAAATTTTTTTACAATCAACGTGTAATTTAGCGATTCAATATACAACTCTACTCTCACGGCTAGTTGCGTGATTATCTGCATTTTTTGAAATGACATTTCTTACAAAGAGAGTTTCTTCTTCACCTTGCAAAGGCTTCTAGCCTCATTTGTTACAAAGAGGTGTCTTTAACAAGGCATAGGCGTCTCCCCAATTTCCTCTGGGTAGACACTTCGAGTTGTTTTACTCCCATATTTTTCAATTAATTCAGTTCTTACAGACCAAAAACTCAGGGTGGCCCATTGGCTCAGTGATCTGCCTCGTATGGGAGAAAGGTAGGATATACAATGACATACTATGGCAAGTGGCACAACAAAGCTGTATATCCACCATCTGTTCCCTCACACAGATGGCCGGTGATTAACTATGCCAGGGCGAATGTCCCAATGGACTCCGCACCAGTTAATCTGCAACCTTCCATCATTAGGAATGGCGATGGATTCAGCCTTGGAGTACCACATGACCCAGGCCCTCAGGACTTTGAGGCCTTTAGGACTGCAAGATGACAAGCAAAACTAGGGGGTGGGGTCTTTCATTTTCATTCACAAAAATGACAGGAGAAAGGATTTACATTTTTCTACATACATTTCTTTTCTTTTTTTTGAATGTACAAGACCGTTCAATATCTACATATTAAAAACTTAAGAACACTGTCGCAACCAAATCTATCCCCTGTTGCAGTCAGTTATGGCAGAACAACCACTCCCCTCCTGGCATTCTCCAATGGTACCAATCGTTCCACCCATTGGCAAGAGTATTTGAAGTGAAACAACAAAATTTGTATGCAAAAGCCATAACCAATGGACAAAAACAAAATTGTAGAAAAAAACCCAGGGCTCATATATATGTGAGGATTTTTTTGGACCTGTCAATAAAACAATTCAAGAAATGAGTACAGCAATATGGTATCAAATCGCAGATATATGTAAATTCGGTAAACAACGATTCTATCAGGAATGAAAATGTCCATAAAAACTTAAGAAAGCATAAGGCAATTTTCCAAATAAATAAGAGCAACTTGGTCCTCCTCCAAGGGCTTGAAATTTTTCTATCAGTGTTTGATAATACAGGTTCAAAAACCATCATGCAAGTTTTTTACATGGTCCAACTAAGTTCTACGGAGTTTGAGATTACAGAGAATGCCCAGAAAACCTTCGAAACTTCAGATAATTAAAATGGGTGCAGTTGGCATACGGATGCATCCGAGCTGTAGAGGTAAGGTGCACCTTCAAATTTTATCATGGTATATAATTTTGATGTAAAATGTTTTTAGGATTATCTCAAAATCTATTTTTAAATCTAATTATAAAATTTTAAATTTAAAAAATGGTTAAAATCAAGTAGATCAATAAACATATGAAAATCTTGAAAATGGACGGTGTAGATAATATGTTCTAAAATGCACTATTTTTAAGACTTAAAATCTTTTTATTTTTCATGGTCATACATCTCGATGTTGAGATGATCAATCAAAGGGTTTTTCAACATTAAAACTACCTTTTCCGATGGATTTTTGAGGTGCATCTGTAGTTCTACAGTATAAAGTTGCATCCTTATATAAACTTTTTCCAATTAAAATTTAAAGACTACGTAAGAATCAGTACAATCCGAATAACACTGACAAGAAAGGAAGTTATACCTGAGCAAACTCATGCAGGTCCAATCCCAGTTGAGAGAGAAGCACACCAGGAATAATCTTCACCTGAGACAAAAGAAAAAGAACGGACATGTAAAAAGCAAATGGAAGATGAGAAATACAGGTGGAGTCATGTTAACGCCTAGAACATACTAATACCGACCTCTTATACAAAGCCTTCACCATCTCTCTCAATGAAGCATTTTCAAAGAAGTCATCATCACAGTCATTGACATCAACCTCATCCATCTGGAATGCCTGATCATCATGAAGCCCACTCCACTCAAACCATACTTTTGAGATCAGCTCCTTACGTAAGGCGGCATAGTGGTCGTCTTTTTCAGCAGAATCATTAGAAACCAACCTATATGTATAGACTTTCTTCTTCTGGCCCGGTCTAAACGCTCGACTCACTGCTTGTCGAGTCACTGAGGGGTTCAAATGTACATCCAAAATTATAACCCTATTTGCACCAACTAGAGATATTCCCTCTCCACAAGCCTTGATCGAACCAAACAGGACCCTAGCATCTGGAGAATTATTGAATTTCTCCATACATTCTTCCCGCTCTTCAAGACCCGAGTCACCAGAAATCTGAAATATTTCCCTTCCTGGGAGCCACCGCTTTCGGGTAATAACCAATCTCTCTAAGAATATCAGAGGAAGGCGGTACTGGCTGAAAACCAAAAGCTTTTCACCAGTAGCTTCACTCTGAGATAATATATTGAGAACAAATTTGGTTTTCACCCCATCATCCACATTCAAATTACTTATAATTTCATCTAGTGCTTTATTAAAATCAGCACTAATACCTCCTTTGTTTGAGGCAGCAGCTGCCTTTGATAACTCCTCCAATGAAGGATGCATACAAACAGCACAACTAACAACTCTTCTCTTGAATTCTCCCTTTGTTTCAAGCTTCTGAAGTCCATTGATTGCATCTTTTTGCCTTGGACTTAGCTCCAGCATAACAGTGAAGTCTATAAGTCCAGGTAGCTCATCCAAGAAATCACCCTTATAGTAATGGAGAACCTTTCCGGTTAACTCCCTCAAATCCTGCAAAACCCTTGTTCTCGCACCCATATCCTCACTTTGCAATGTATCCTCAATCAAGTCACAAAAATTCTTGTCCACCTGAGCTTTGAACTTCCTCTTGGAGCCCCCTGACAGTGGGACCCTACTCAAGAGACGCTTAACTATGGCTCGAGAATTCACAGTTTTCAGGTAGTTTGGTCTCACAAGGTCCAAGATATTGAAAACTTCCTGAACATGGTTCTGAAAAAGTGTTCCTGATAAAACCACCTTTCTAGGGGTCTGCACTTTGGATAGAGAGTGGAGAATATCGGTTTCACTATTCCTTGGCGTGTGGCCTTCGTCGAGGATTAGAAGACCTGGAACCTTGAGCAGTATATCTTGACAAGCAGTGTTTAATGTGTTTTCTTTGTCATCACACACAATGCTCGCAAATTGCTTATACCCCAAGAACAAAATACTCTTCTCATCCTGCCACATTCTGAGAACTTCTAATTGAGCAGAACGAGCTTCTGACTTGCTCGAAGAATACATGTCAAAGAGGGGTATGTTCTCGACCTGCCACTTCTTGAATTCTTTCAACCAAGTATGAAGAATGCCTTTTGGGAGCACTATTAATGGCCGGGCTTCGGGATATTTTGCCAAGAAGCTTTGTAAGAAACTGATAATTAAAAAAGTTTTTCCAGACCCTGGGGCATGAGCAAGAATGCATCCACCTGGTTTATCGGTCAGGAGGTTCTTTCTCAAGAAATTGAATCCCTCGATTTGATGGGGCTTCATCTCATTCATGTGCCTTGGATGGATGGAGATTACATCCCCTGTTAGGTCTAACTCGAAATCTCTAAGTCTGGGAAGTTCAGTGCTTTGAGTTTTCTCGGTGATGCCCTTTGGTTTTTGAGAGTCAAGAATTGGGAGTCTTGTACTCTTTGAACTCTGAGAAAAACCATAGGAAAAGATAATTTAGTCTGTTAATGGAAAGCATTGAAACATGATAAGAAGCCCAACTCCAGCAAGCACACAAGCAGTTGAAAGAGCAGCAATAACTGTTCCACACTGATTATAATGTTAAGGATTCTTAACAAGAAAAAATGTCCACCCAGATATGCATACACCACAGTGGAGATTTACTGCACTTTCCGGCAGCTATAGTAAATATCCACATCATGATGTGTACATACACACATTCCTGCTATAATGAAATAGTCCAAATGAAAACGTCCTAGGATTTGTTTTGCAAGAGGGCGGCTACACCAGAGGCGTTTTGACCGGAATTTCCAGCAAGCGTACTTTTCGATACATGAGTCAAAGAGACTTGAAGCATGTTCATGTCGGTTTGTTTAAGATACATATTCAAGAGACCTGAAGCATGTTCATGTCAATAAATCTAAACTCAGCTACTGAAAGGACAATGAAATATCTTATTCAGGCCGTGACATACCTTCCCCCACTGAAAGTCAAATATCGTTTCTATCCTTTTCTGAACCACACCACAAAATTGGCAAACATATCCCAAGTCATCTTCCAAAGTACAAGAGTGATTGCATTCGCCTTTTTCCTCACTAACTTCAGCATTCTCTGAAGTGGTATTCTGCCCAAAAGACATAACAGATTAATCTCCATGACCATGATAAAATGATAACCAACATGACAAACTTGATGAAAAAAGATGAGGTCTCGAAAATCACAGCTAATAAATCCATCAATGCCTCATTGCAACAATCCCCCATAAGTATAGGACTACAATCAGGCCACTATGGCATGACAATAGAGCCTATAACTTGTGGCTCACTGTGTTTTCTTTGATAAGTAAAATACTAACAGATATTATTTAAGGCAAACCAAAGCTTCAAACGATCCATAGAATCTATAAAAGGTAATCACAGAATAACCATGCAGTCAAATTACCACTGCAGAAGAAGAACTCCCATTCAATATATATGGTTTAAAGCAATCATTGTAAGGATTATCCCCATGTGCACAAAATATAGAAGCTAGGAAATTCTTGTGAGAAGGGAAGCTAGAGTTTGCAACAACTCATAAATATGCAGGAATCACATTTCTAATGTAAGCCCCGAATCATAATGTAAAAGTTCTTAGACATTATTTTTCTAGGCCTGTAATATACGAGGCTTGAGATCAACTCCAATCTCAGGTTTTCATTCGGTTAGAAACAATTGAAGGTTTTGGATGCCTGCCTAGAAATTGTAGATGATTTCAGCTGCGGCCTTCAGAACGTGTGGATCCATGAGCATAACTTAGGGAAGCTACTGTGCTATTCTTGTGCTATTCTTGGACTGATATCAGGCATGCATTGCAATGTCCTCTTTGAAAGTAATATTAGAGGCATAAATAATTCATTAAAAGGAAAAGAAAAACTACAAAAAACTACAACAGAGGCAAAACCCATGCCTATGAAGAAACAGCCCCAAACACATTTGTTAAGCTGAACTGCCCAAAGATTGGGTATAACAGAAGCTCGACAATCCACAATTTATTGGGAATTGGAAAATGTCTGCCTAACTACATAGCATTTTTTCATTTTCTCGTAAGCAAATGCAATTCCAGAGAAAAGAAAAAAGAACAATATCACTATGCAATGCCATATATTTTAATGCAACTCCATTCAATATGGAATGGAAGAATGGGGCTCTTCCACTCTATGGTTTAGACTGAAGCAACCAGCTACTAAACTTGACTGAAGCAAAGACATTTCCAATTTGTAAGCACAAACTACTTTACATATAATTCACTAATGAAAAAGACAGTGAAAAAGGTAAATATTATAAACCACAGTGAAGAAAACAAGGAAGCCTAGTTAAGTGTTCCTTTGGATTGGGATTTCATGACCATTTTCACTGGATAACAAGAAAATTACAACAAATAATTGGGAAAAGGCTCTAATGATGATGATAATGAACAAGAAAATTACAATAGCAAATGCAACGCTCCTAGTCACACAACAATCATTAAAAAAGCAACAAAAAAGAAATATGACTGTGCATTCCGACCACCAAAATGAAGGCAGCATTCGATCTCATAGAGATTTTCTCACACAGAAAAAAAAATAAACAATCGTCAAAATACCTTTGAACACTCCAAAGCCAATGTCATTTCCTTCCAAATGTCAGCATGTTCATCGGCTTCTTCAGCATCCTGACCATCTTCATCATGACCCATGAAAGCATCATCTCCAAACTTACTCTCTGTATGATCACTTTTTTCCTGCTGAACGGATATCAATTTTTATATGGATAATACTTGAAACAATAGATAATAAAAGATATTCCACCTACTACCAGGAGAGACTGCACAAATGGTTGACTAACTCACTGGATCATCTTGAGTTTCCCTAGAGAACAACTGCGCCTTTTCTGACTGTCCTAGGCACTGTTGATGGTATTTAATTTCATGATTGAGAGCCCAAAATGAAACCTGCGCTTGTGGATTACCATCACACCCCTCTTCATCATCAGAAAGAAGAATAACATCTTTGGCTAACGCACGATCTTGCCCACCACGTCCCTCGTTAGGAATAACAACAACATTGTCAGCACCAAATTGGAGTAATCTAGGAGATATAGGAAGGCCACTTTGATGGGTCCCTAGATGAGGAGATGTCTGGTTCAGCTCCTTAGCCTTTACATGAGCAAATACATTTTGATCGTGAAGTTTCTTCTGGGGACTTCCAATGGCATTATAAATTTCTCTCAATTTTTCCTTCAAATTCATGGATTGAATAGAAACTTCTTTGAGTTCTTCAGTCACACTTCCATATTTGCTATCTTTTACACCTCCTAACAAATTGGCAAAGGCAAATGGATCAGATAGATCAGAATTTCCTTTGGCATATCTGTGAGGTCGCACAAATTTGTACTGTGGGTAAGACAGTAGAAACTGAGTGTCACCATTATAGTCTTCATCTTCAGTGGATGTCCTCATCTTTTTACTTGGTCTAGAGCAACCCTCTGGTTTGTATAAAAAATATGAGTACTAAGGAATATGCAGGTATTAAGGGAAGCAACCAAATGAACAGGCAAAAACTAAACCATGAGAAGAAAAACTTGTACTGTATCCCACAAAGCCAAATGGCTACAATCGACGAATCAGCAAAGAAGACCTTGGATTTTACTGCATAGACAACCATTTAAATTGCAACTTGAGCAAATACTTGTACAATCAGAGCTAGAAATTGAATAGAAAATCTGAGAACTCAACAATCAGTGAGCAAAGAAGAATAAAAATAGCCCTCCTAAGCTCCAAGTAATAGTGGATCCATAAAGATATTTAGAACATCTGACAGGCATTTTTGGATGTATAGGACTAAATTGTTATCCCAAGGGATTACTTTCATTCTCCTTTGCTGTTCCAGTTTGTTGATTCTTGAAAGGAATGCTAGATGTAGAAACAAATATTGGTTTTGGATTCATTCACAGTTTCACACCCCCCTACAACACACACATGGAAAATATATATGCACAAGTAAACCCACAGGCAGAGAGACATGCACACCCCTACACCCACACTGAACCACCCAGACACACACATAAACACCAACCTCTATTTTAACATAATATCAATCGAAACACAAACACTATTTCATGCACTACTCTATATATATTAGCAAACTAACATGCAGTACTCTACATATATTAGCAAAGTAACCACACCTTTCATCAAAATTGCATCACATAAAAGTCCTATACAAATTTGTGAGTCTAATTAATGAGAGGATACATCAATGCAAGAGCCACTTAAAAGAAGATCACATGCTTAATCAACAATTGAGGTCCAGATTAACGTCTATTTGACAGTCTAGGGGATACTGCATCAGGGATTAGATATCCAGCATTATTGAGAATTCCTATTAATCCCAATATCCAAGAGATTGATTGTCTCCGAAGGTTAAGGGCCAGGGTGACATGGTGCCCTAATTTCATAGAGATCTTCGAGATCATGAAATGGACGAGTTTGCAATATTCTTGGATGAGTTGAAAGATGTTTAGTGCCGATCCAAGGGGTAGAGAGGGAGGGTACGGAGTTGGGAAAATTGAGATTATTTACTGCTAGAACATTTTACAAGATTCTATCAGGTGATGACAGCCATTTATATAAAGCTCTCCCCCCCCCATGTTTTAGCTTTCAGATGGTTGCCATGCTGCCGGAGTATTATGAAAGGTGATAGCCTTCAAAGACGGGATAAGGAGATGCCCACTATGCCTGTTTTATGCCAAGCTGCAGACGAAACAGCAAGCCACCTTCTTGTTCATTGTAGGTATGCATGACCATATGGGCATATATCACATGCAGTGGGTGACCCAGCTTCTATAGAAGACATCATGGGAGGTATGTCTCCACGGCAACACCTAGGGGCCGGGTGCTTTGGCAGTGGAGCACTATGGCCATTATTTGGTGCATTTGGAAAGAGCAAATAGTCATATTGTTAGGGATCAAAGATGCACGAATTGGTCCTAAAGGAGAGGATTGGGAATATGGTGATCTCATAGGACTTTGCTTCGACTAGAATTTCAAGGTTCAATGCCATTGATTAGGTCAAGGACTGAAAGACTTTGGCCTTTTCACATCCACCATTGCTTAACTCCCAAGGCAGCTTGGGCTACTCCAGTGGAGGGTTCTATGAAGAAAATTTTTGATGGATTTTCACAGGGTAATTCGGCACAAGTAGCTATCGCCGGGATCTCAGAGATGAAGAAGGTAGGACGCTTAAAAGCTGTTCAGGTCTATTGGGGATACATGGTTCTACATTGATAGAGGCCCATGCATTGCTTACAGGTCTACGGATCTGTCCCTTGCATTTAAGAAGTTGATTAGTAGTAGAAGGGAATTTTCTCAATGTCATATGATGGGACCATAAAGAATTATCTATTCTGTGAAGGTTGACTATGAAATTTTTTGGAGATCTTTGACATTTGTGACACCCAGCATGCAAATTTTATTTATATTCTTGGGGAAATGCAGGGGTTCTTCGAGAATGACTCGATGTCGACACACTGTTAATGTTAGAATTCTGAGATGCTATCTTTACATCTCTTGACTTTTTCTTTCTTGTTTTCAATTCGTTGTACTTCTATTTAGTAAATGACCTTTTTTTGTTAATGAATAAAAATAATGATAATAATAATTCAGAATCAGAGAGCATCACTGACAAGGTAATAAGAAGAATCCTTTAAAATGTGGAATAAATTCTCCCAGTAAAGAGAGGCAAAAAGACCATTTTACCTTTAAAACAAGAACAAATTGGAGCTTTATTTAACAATTCGAAGTTGCATTCCTATCTCCATGAAACAGTAACCAACACATTTATTTTCATGATGAGGGATACAAGAACATTGTGATGTAATTTTTTGTCACCGTACTTTATCAACAAGGGTTGACAAATACTATAGGACACCAAAAGTAATACATGCAAGTAAAAAGTATTGCACAATCCTGTACTTCATCAAAAGAAATGCATGCAAGTAAAAAGTATTGCACATGTGCTAAGAGAAGGCAATCAAAATCCAAGAAGTTCATGGTATCGAACACGACCATCAGTTATAGAACATACAATCCAACCAGAAAAGAATTACATACGTTTTAAACTGAGCAGACCAAAGTTCTCAAAAGGTGTACTAGGTGTGGAAGGTTCTCCAAATTCGTCAACCCCCATTGCGTCATGCAGCATCTCCTTCACAGCAAGCGACTGCAGATTGAAAATATGGGAGGATAACTTTCATCAATAACATGCCACGAATCATCATTCGAAAAAAGTTATTGATGAGAACATGAAAAATTATTCTGAAGGTTCAGCAAATTTCATGCCCTCTAATGCTGCATACAAAAATTTCACTAAATTAAAGGCTTAACGACAATGTTATTTCCATAGTGCTACAAAATAGTTCTGAAACAAGAATATAAGTCCTTGAAATAACACATAAATCATAGCTAGACTAAGAAAGACAATTACCAAATTCACACCTCATGCATACTTTTTTGGCCCCATTTGTAACAATTTATACTATCTGTAATAATCTATTAAGAACAGTTAGTTAAAATGGAGGAAAATATCATACATGAATTACCACATTGTATGGAATCTCATTTTTTGCTTCCACAACCCAGATTGCTGAGGTGGACTGTTGTTTCTTGACTTTGTTTAAGGATCTATAAGGAATCAGATGGATGATCAATTAGATATGCGTTTCCTACAAATCAACAACTAGCATGGAGCAATGCAAAAAGAAATGAACAACCCTATATCTATCTTCGCATAATATTCGATCATGGTGACCTAAAACACATTTCGAGTGATCATGCTCTGTTCCTGCAAATGCCCCTCCCAATAGCTGGACAACTAGAACATCATCGCCATTGTTGTCATCATAATCATCATCATCAATATATTTGATTTCTCCATGTGCCCCCAAAATTTGCTGGCAGAAACCCATGCATAAATGAACCCCTTTAAACAATGAAATTTACTAAGAGAAAATGTATCTACATCGAACAAAATGAACCTCTCTCTCTCTCTCTCACACACACACACACTGAGTAAGAACAATCCAAAGTACTTGTTTTTAAAGGTAAATAAAAAAATTTATTTACCGCAAATCCCCTTTTCAAAAACCAGGAAAATTTTGTGTTTCAAAACTTGCTAGCGAAACCCATAAAGTACCAGTTCTGCAAGCTACAAAATGTTCAATTTCTCCACTTCTAGCTCTCAACTGCTGCTTATAAAACTGAGAAAAATAAAATGGCGTCCAATTTCGCTGGCTAAAACAAACCTATTCGCAGATACTAAATCTTCAAACAAGAGTGTTCAATAACCATTTAAAGGAACAACAAACCTAGAACAAGGTCTCTCTCTCTCTGAGCAAGAATCAGCCAAATGAAAACTAAGCCTAGAAGAAACCTAAAATAGAATGCTTCAGGGAAATGCAAAAGGAATACTTACAGGGAAACTCTTGTACTTCATTCGAGTTTCTCTCTCCGACGAGAGCAGCGCGGGGTTCTGGGAAGGGAAAGAGTGGAAGCAGAAAGGGTAGGTTGTAGGCGCACTAACGAGCACAGGAGAGAGGGGACGAGCCTAAGAAAGCGTACAGGTAAGCTCTCCCTCTCCGGCTTTCGAAAGGCAAGGGTGCGCACGGTCGACTCCGACGCGCCATACTCATCAAAGTAAAAGATTAGTTATAGGAAAGGGCACTTTGGGATATAGAAGCTAGAATTGAGGTGCCTTTGCGGCCAAGCCCGCGTATGTAGAAATGGGGCCTCTTAATAAATCTATTTTTTAAATCGATTTTAAGACTTAATTTTTGAGGATACGTAATCTTTAATATGGAGATCATGAATATGAAAAAAATTAAAATTAAAATTTTAAAATTAAAAAAATAATTTTTGTAAAAAAACATTTGGACCGTTAGTTTCCATTGTTTTTAGATGGAACACCTACTCGCATCCATCTTTAAGATGGATGCTTTACACTTTCTGGACAGCATATTTAGAAATGCAGTCGCCCGAATGAAACAATTTTTTTATTAAAATATTTCAAAACAATTAAAAAGTTGTTTTGATGCTGAAAAAATATCTATTTGATCATCTCGATATTGATATATGGAGAAAAAAATAGATTTTTCAAGTCCTAAAAATAATACATCGTGTGACACATTATCTGAACTGTCCATTTTTTGAGATTTTCATGTATTTGTAGATCCGTTTGATTCGAACTATTTTAAAAGTTTAAAATTTTATAATTAGAACTTAAAATATATTCTCACACCATCCCAAGATATTTTGACACAAAAATTGCATCTCATGACAAAGTATAGAGGTACACTATACTTTCATTATTTAAGGTTGCAACCTTATGTAAACCAAGGCTTTAGTTATTCAATTTTTAAACTATTTATTAAATTTCAAAACTCCTTTCATAATACACTTCATGATGACCTGAAATAATTGAAAATAGATAAAATATTAAATACTTGGTGAGCTAAATGCATTTAGAAAAAGTTTATATAAAGTGTTCACCTTATATCATAGAAATAAGGTGCACCTAAAAAACCTATCGGAAAAGGTTGTTTTATTGCAAAAAAAGTACTTCAATTGATCATCTTGACCACGATATATATAGATATAAAAGGAAAAAAAAATTAAAGTTTTTAAAAATAATACATTTCGATAATATTATCTAGCCTGCCATTGGCAAGATTTTCGACTGTTTATAGATTTGCGTTATTTTTGCAGCTTTCAATTATAATGTGGGTGAAAAATATAATCTTTAGGCCATCATATAAGTTTCAGCATTAAAAATGCATCTTTTAACAAGCTTTTGAGGTGCATCTTATTGTGATTGTTTAAGGTTGACACTTTATACAAACCTCACCCTATTTATATTCCGGTAAATTTCCAGATTGATAATGTGGGATTGTGAATTAATTGGCTTGACCTAAACAATTATGGATTCTTTAAAGATTAGATTGTAAGCTCTTCAAAGAGGTCTATTTTCTAGGATTTATTATGTCAATGTTGACACAATGCTAAGCGCAATACTATTTTTTGGTGCCTGGTGCGCAATACTTAACTGCCGGTTTAGGTTTTTATTCCCATTGACCCATTTGAAAACCATTAATTATTTTTAAAAATGGTTAAGGGTTAAGGGTGAAACTAGATTCTATGGTTAAGGGTGCAACTAGATTTCCCTGTTACATTTTGCGATGGAAATTAAAAAGGAAAAGTATACAACGAGATCAATTATCTTTGGTACAAGGTGGTCACTGACCATTAGATGTGAAATTAGATGGCTACATTTATTTTATTGACCAAATACAAATTTCAAAAAAAAAAATATTTTTGAACTTTGTGACAGACCCCAGCTATTAAATTTCAAATTTGATGGTTGTACATATGACCACCTTATATAAAAGTAAATGTCTCATTGTATACAATCCCAGCTTAAAAATACTATCTATTTTTTCCTTCTTTTTTTTATCAAATGGTTCTTTATTGTCAGTTTTTTATTTTTCTTTTAAATACCCTAAGTGACCACATCTGAAATTGTTTTGGAGAACCAGGGCAGACACTTGGTGTGCCGGACGGACTTCTCCATAATAGTGTTGGGCAAGCACTCCAAGTACTCAATTGACTTTTTGGCAAGTTTCCAGTTCAACACTTCAAGTGCCAGTGCCAGGCTGACTCAAAATAAAAAATAAAAAAAGAGTTGAAATAAGATATTTTGCTATTCTTTCTTGTTGTCAAGGCACATTCCAAGTGCTCGACTCACTTCTAATAAAAAAGTTGCCAAAACTCACTTGGCAGTTGAAGTTCGGCCCGACACTATCACAAAGAACTCGGGCCCAGTACTCCAAGTGACCGAGCTCTAAAAAAGGGTGCAGTTGGAACACGGATGCATCCATAGCTGTAGAGGTAAGGTACACCTTCAAATTTTATCATGGTATATACTTTTGATGTAAAATGTTCTAGGATTATCTCAAATTCTATTTTTATATCTAATTATAAATTTTAAATTTCAAAAATGATTAAAATCAAGTAAATCTATAAACATATGAAAATTTTGAAAATAGACGATGTAGATAATATATTGGAAAATGCTTTTTATTTTTCATGGTCATACATCTCGATGTTGAGATGATCAATCAAAGGGTTTTTTAACATTAAAACTATCTTTTCCAATGGATTTTTTAGGTGCATCCATAATTCTACCTTATAAGGTTGCATCCTTATGTAAACTTTTTCCCTAAAAAAAAAAAAACTCAAATGCGTACCGGATTCAAGGTATTTTGGTGGAAAGAAAAAAAAATGTTGGTGTAAAATATGAAAAAATATGAAGAAGAATATTATTTTCAAATTTAATTATTATTATTGTTATTACGTAAATTGCCCTTCCAGGCTTCCTATTGTGTGCTGTTCCCTGGCAAGGGTATAAAGTCTCCTTTGTAATGTGAAGTCCGCCCGACGTTACAAAATAAACATATTTCATTCATGCTATGTGAAATTCAGATTTCAGTTATTACTAGCACCAAATTTCGGCTTTGGCCTCTTGTGCAGAGATAAAGTCAAACCAATTTATGGTCATTACGAACGGCTACTTCTACAAATGTCGGGGAATTAGGTGCATGCATTATTTATTAGACTTGAGAGCATTAATTTTCTAAACTGGCAGCACGCCATGCGCTGGGTTTCCTAGGGAAAAACTATCATGGTGCCATATAAGCCATGGATCTATGTATGTATATGTACAGAGCGCGGACTCAGACCTGGACCTGACTGGGCTCGGGTCAATGTCAAATGGATCCTGACCCGACGATCCGGATACAGTTGGGTCAACCCATCGGGTCCACATGGTTGACCCGAATCGCATCCCAACCCTAGAGAGAGAGGCAATATGCCTTAAGTACACTGCAAAAATTGTTATAGACAAAATTGTTAGCCCAATTTGCTTCCAGGAGATGATTCAATGTCCTATTTTTCTGAATAAGCAGGTGATGATCCAGCGTGAAGTGCTCCTCGTACAGTAGTTTTTTTCTGTTTTTTTGAAATTAAGTGTTCCTAATATACTTCATAACTCAAAGTTTGCAATGTTCAATGTTCAAGAAGTCGGATGCGGCTGCTTAGGCAGCGCCCAGACACAAAAGCACAAAGCACCTACATTGGGGGGCAAATTGTTGGACCCCCCACACCTCCCCCTTCTTATCATATATAGACTTGCCATTTTTTTTTTTAATAAATATATTTTATATATAACGTATCATTCAGAAGTCAGAAGTACATATCAAACATGAACATAACTTTAAACTCTAAATGTAATGGTTAAAACTCAAAAGCAACATTAACAGAAAAAAACAACTCGAGATGTCCATTATATCTCGCAAATCATAAGTCGCAAACTAAATATGAAAATGGGAAAATAATCGAAATAGTTTTCTTTTTTTTGGCAAATAACAATCCAAATAGATGATAAAATATCAAATATATATCATAAATTATCAAAAAGAAAATAAAAAAAGCAAAAAATAACACAATAAGTACATTGTGAACAAAAAGAAATACATAACCTAATAAAAAATATTGAAATATACCAACCTTCTTGAAATAGAATCGATATCGGCCCAAACCAGAAAATTTTAGTTCCCAAATATCCTCTTTTACAACCACTACAAGCCTCAAAAAGATTAGAGATGAATATCATTTAATTTTTTGAGCATTCAAGGAGGTTGAAAAAAATTTCGGAACTCTTTACAAATTTTCAAATCTTGTTTTTTTCAAGGTTTTCCTCATTCTAAACCTCACTAAAAAAGTTTTGGGAGGCAATGCCCCTTCCCCCACTTTTTTAGGAAGGGGGATGACAAAATTACCCAATAGCCAAGGAGCATTTTCCATCTGCTAGATTGTTCGAGGTGGCGCCTAGGCGCCCGCCTTTTATGCCGCCTCGGCGGTTCCACACCTAGGTGGTGCCTAGGCGGCAAGTCAGCCAAAACCGAATTTTCTTTCATTGGCAATGTTAAAGTGGAACCTGGCTCACGCAGGTGCTAATAATAACCAACGATCGAAATGGAGCCTTGAACCCCATTGTGATGAATAGGAGGAGAGAACAGATGTTCCTTGAGGCGCCTCCTACCATCTTACCAGGCTAAATTATTTCTTCAAATATGCTCCTTTAAGGACCATAACGATTTGACAAACAAATGAAAAAAAAAAAAGGCACAACAGAGAGAGTGTGTTCTCTCAAAGAACACAAAGAGGAATAAAAGAAGTCCAAAACACAATTCACCAGACGCGCACTCTTGTGAGAATATAAGAAGTCTACAACACAATGGTGATCGATCACTGCACCAAGTGCAAAGAAATCATAAAGTTGTGCTTTCCTGTCATTCTTTGGCTTTAGATCTGCCAGAACATTTTATTCTCCTAAGAAGGCTTCTAGACTATGCACTTACCACAAACTGGACTCTCTGGGTAATTCAACAAAACCGAATGCTGACCACTTTGAATAACAACTTTACTCATTTAAAACCAAGTTGACATCAACAGACACTCAAAGTCCAACCGTACCGATTTAAAATTAAGTAGCAACAGATTCTGACCTTAGTTGCAGGCACCTTGTAATTAGGGCAGCACTGCCACTCTAGAACCTCAATCCTGCTCCACTTCTTGGTTCTTACTCAATCCATTTGACTATTGGATGTCCCTCCTCCCAGACTGGCTAATATCTCAGTCCCAGTCCAAACAACTATACTTCTGATTCCTGACTACCACAGGGAAATGACGGAAGAAAAGTTGCAAACATGGGTTCAATTGCTAAAAACAGTTGATGAAGGATGTAAAAATGACAACCAATGTTCCAAAATAAGTTATGGAGTCCAGTTTGGTCAATTCCCTTTTTTAGGTTAGGGGAAGAAGGTGATATATGACAACAATGATGATTATTTTTTATTGTAGAGAACAACAAAATCTAATATAGAAAAATCACAAACACCATTAACTATCAGCAATTTCAGGAGGTTGGTGTGAAAAAATCAAAACTGCAAGCTAGAGAACAGTACGTTAAATGAAAAAAACATGATTCTAATATGACAAGTTCAAAATTCTTGACATGACGCCAAGATTTCTCACCAAATTCTCAAGCTGGGAACGCACCTCCTACATGTAAAACTTGTAGAAAGGATAACCAAAACACAAAACCATGTACATACAGCTACTCTTTTAGACAGCAGTTATTATCAAAAACATTGCATGGTACCAAATAGCACATGACCACACAACAAGAATCACAAAATGATTGGAACATGAATAAGTTCTTTCTTTTCTTTTAATGAACTACAAGAATCGCAAAATGATCAGAACATGAATATGTTCTCTCTTTTTTTTTAATGAATTAGAAGAATGTATGTATATCTAAGAACTTAAAAACTGTCGAAGAGTCGAGCAATGACTAATTCAAATAACCCACATCATGTCTTCATTTTTATTTCGAATCTACAAAAGTCCCTATATTTAAACTATTCCAAGCATGTTATTACCTATATCATGTCTTCAGTTTTATTTCGAATCTACAAAAGTCCCTATATTTAAACTATCACAAGCATGTTATTACATATATAATCCTTGGATGAGGAGAATTATGGTTTTCATTTGAGAACATATTTTTAAGCAAGATGGAATAAAAACAAGACTCTTCTTGCCATGCTGGACGTAAATGCACACGCAATTTTTCCAAAAAAAAAATGTGTATTCTAAAGTTCAGTGTAGTATCCTTCTAGTTATTAAAGTTCAAGGATGGATAAACAAGTCTCTAAAGAAATTTAAGTTTATAAGGCATTAATCAAAATCAATCAAAATCTAATAAAAAATCTATAAAGTCAGTAAATGAAGTGTGAAGTCCTTATGTAAAAAAAACAACATATTATATGCTACATATGGAAAACAACGAAAGAAAGTACGGAGGATAGACACATAGACATGGAGACAGCAGAGCCTCTTAGGAACAATTTTTCTTTTTTTATTTCTTCTTTTTAAATGAGACGCTCTCAGGAGAACCTGAATAGTATTCTCAGCTCACAAGGTAATAGGAAAAGAAAAAAGAAAAAAAAACATAGGCAAAGAAAGTGTTTCTTTTTTCAATAGGTAGAGATTATTGGCATGGAATAATCCTCCTGTAACCTCTGCAAATTAAGATTAATAAACTGAGAACCAAAAGAGAGAGAACTGAGAACCGAGAGAGAGATAGGCAGGCATAATCACATTACTCTTTAAATGAGCTACACATGCACTGATAGTATACTAAATGATTCTATTTAATACACAAATTACACCATATAAAGCAGAACAATAATTAAAAATAAAAGGGGTGCTCAAAATAGCATTTGAATCATTGAATTTTGAAAGTGCAAGATGTTGCATCATGATTTAAAAGGCAACAGAGGCTACCACAAAAATAAAAAATCTCAAGCATTCGATTTTCAGAGAGAGAGCATCATATAAACTCAGATTATTAAGAGAAAATAACTAAAACCACAATTGCAAGTACAATATGTTGCAAACGGATCTAACAGGCAAAGAAAGATACACTGTTTCTCAAAATCTTTTAATATCCCCACACAGAGAGAGAAATGGTCCGAAAAATGGGTCTCCCAAGCATTTTAGCAAACAAAATAAAAGCCAAACCTTGGGCCACTCAACTGATCATTCCATCACAACTTTAGCACCAACACCTTTCATCTTCTCAATAATCTTCTCTGCCTCTTCTTTAAGAACCCCCTTCTTCAACACAGTGGGCGTCTTCTCAACCAAATCCTTAGCTTCTTTGAGCCCCAAATCAGTGAAAGTCCTCACCTCTTTGATGATCTTAATCTTCGAAGCAGCGTCAAAGCCCTCAAGCTTCAAATCAAACACAGTTTTCTCCACCTTCTCTTCACTTTTTTCAGACGCTCCAGCCTTAGAAGCCCCTCTGCCCATGCTCATTCCCATTCCAGGCATCATAACAGTCATGATAGGCATCTCACTTATGTCGAACCTCTGGCGCAAAACCTCTGCTAAGTCTGCAACCTCCATCAGAGTCAAACCAGAGATGTCATTCACGATCTCTGAAACCCTAGCGCTCGGTTGGGTGCTGGAACAGTAATGGCGATGAGAGAGGTTACAATATGAATTAGGGTTTGGAAGGCTACGAGCTCTTTCCAATACTGATTCTTGAGAAAAGAAAGGAGGTGGAGGTTGGGGACGAGGCGAAGGAGAAGAAGAGGAGCATTGTCGAGTTAAGAGGGGAGTTGCAGAGGTTCTGCGATGGGGTTGTGCAGATGAAAATAATGGAGATGAGATGGAGCGAAAGTACCTCATCTCATAGCTTAGGAGTTACAGTTAACAGACGTGGTGGCTCGGGGCCCCTAGCCTTCGAGCGAGGAAGGGTTGACTGCATTGGGTTTTCCGGTTTTAGTCGGAGTGTGGTGTTTTGTGTTTTGATGGAGAATGAAATGGGGAAAATTTCTGACTATCCCCTAGTTTGTTAGGGGAAAAAGTTTTTGAATACCCCCCATTTGTTAGGGAAAAAAGTTTAGCGAAAATTGCTTAAAACCCTTTGGAATGTACTCCATAGACATTCTATCCTCACTCCAAAAATTTTCACTCTTTTTTATAAAAAAGCATTTTTATGACTAAAATCCCCTTAACTCAAAAAGTTGTAATTTTTTTTACTAAAATACTCCTTCCCGTACGTACTTTCACCGCACGAACAAATCATTTGGATGGACCCCAATAATACTTTCGCCGGACCACGGTTCTTATTTGTCGGACTCATGACATATACCAGACTGCATTTCTGCAATACCAGACTACTAATTTAGACAGTGATACACCAGGTCGTAGATTATTAACGCCAGACTGACCCCACTGGATCACTAATTCAAATCGCTGGACCGCTCTTACAAAATGCCGGAATGGCCAATGACATCGCTGGATTGATGCTCACAAAAGCCGGACCGACGATCTCAGTGAGGAATCGCCAAACTAAGATAGTGAAATGTCGGACTGTTCGATGAAATTGTCGGACTGCTCAAAACTAAAGCCGAACTGACCTTTGCCAGAGTGAATACCGCCGGACTGCCGTCAGGACGCTGACAGAGTGCCCATGAATCCAGGAACCATATCACCGGACTGCCTTCATGGAGTGTTGGAGTGCCCATGAATCCAGAAACCATATCGCCGGACTGCCTTCATGAAGTGCCAGACTGCCCTTGAATCCAGGAACATATCGTTGGACGACCTTCATGAAGTGTCAGAGTGCTCATAAATCTATGAATGAAATCGCCGGACTGCCTTCATGAAGTGTCGGCGTGCCATGAATCCAGGAACCATATCGCGGGACTGCCTTCATGAAGTGCCGGAGTGCTCATGGATCCAGGAACCTATCGCCGGACAACCTTCATGAAGTGCAGGAGTGCCCATAAATCCATGAATGAAATTGCCGGACTGCCTTCATGAAGTGTCGGAGTGCCCATGAATCCAGGAATATATCACCGGACTGCCTTCATGAAGTGCCGGAGT